TCAGGAGTATAGTACACCTGACTTTAAAAATTCATAGAAAAACAAATTTTAGATCAGATTTTTAGCTCCAATTTTCTACACAACATAAGTACATGTATATGTATCAGAAAAGATTATAAAAATGGAGAATTGTCTCGTTTTCAAGTTTGATAAGATGACACTAATACAGAATTTTTGGCCCAATTTTTATGCAACTTCAAAATTTTTTGAAAATTTAATTTTAATCAGAATAAGCTCAAAGTCAATAAATTATAAAAATTAGGAATTTTCTCCTTTTAATTTTGAGGAAACTTTCCTAATGACCCTGTACTATATAGTACGGGGCCCTTGGCCCAATTTTTGACCAACTCTGTATAAAAATTCATTAAAAATTTTAGAGGGTCTTACTGTACATACACATGTATATGTACATGTACATGTAAATATGCAATCGTACATGTACATGTGCAAAACATGTACAGTAAAAATATGTGACTTACTGTACATGTACATGTATGCATTGTATCTTGTACGTATGTTCATTGGTACACGTATAATTATATTGTGACATTATTCTCTTCACAGTCCTACAACTGTTAACATGTGCTACAACTCATCACCGTGGCAACAGACTCCTCCCTCATTCTATCGTCCCCAGCAGACCCCCTCCCTTGAACTCTATGGTAATGCTATCTCATTGAACAAAGCAGGAGGAGGAGGAGGGGGAGGAGGAGGAGGAGGGAGCAGGAAATCATCAGCTAGGAGGAGACCAATGGGACAGGCTTATAATAACTACAGGTATATTTCATTATACATGTACATGTACGTACTACATGAATGTATTGTACATGAAATTTGTGCTGGACAATTTTGATTATTGTACATGTACTGTATATCCTCAAATAAAAGCTGGGTGCAAATAAACGCTGGGGTAGCAATAAAATGGAGCTATAAAGCAAATCTAGCCTTAAAATAGCATACATCTAGATGCCTTGTAGATATCATTTGCATGAGGTCCCTGGTTAGAATCCTCCTTTTGGCTCAAGTTGTATTTTATTTTTTAAAGGTCCAAATATCATTTTAAAAAATAGACGCCCGGGCTTTTATTTGAGAAAATACAGTACATGTAATTGTAATGTACTCAATGTGTGAATGTACTTACTGACTGCTTGTATTAGGTATACAGTGTCTCATCCAGGACTATCAGTTCAAGGACTCTCAGTTAATGATAGAGTTAAAGTGAGTGAGAGAGAGAGGGAGAGGAGTGATACATGTAGAGTGTATTTGTATTTTAATGTTTCTCTGTTTGTCTCATTCACTTGTATTTTTCTTTTAGCATTTGAAGCATCTCTCAACAGCTTCAAACTTGTCAACATCATAACTAACTGTACATGTATGTGTTCAATAATATTATTTTCCATTATAATGATACACCTGCACCCACACACAACTAAACATATTCATGTGTTATAAACAACAAAATTATAAATATACAATAATTTTTAAAACCACATGCATTAATGTAAATTGG